ATATTGGATCATTCGGCTTGTTCGTGATTGGCTTGAATGAGGGAAAGGGTGTGTGATTTTTTTTTTTTTTTTTTACTTATTCAATTTCATTTATTTTATTCGCTTTATATCAGAATTTTAATAAACAACCCAACTTAGAGCCATCCAATATCAATAATACTACCACCATTATCGCCATCGCCACCCCGCCACAACCACCACCACCTCCACCTCCAGCACTACTGCCATTATAGTCGTAATCAACGTTGCCATTTCATTTATTCAGTATTCTGGATTAAAGACAGCCAACAAACAAAACAACAAGAGGCAACTATTTTTCTATTAATGATCAGCCTCAATGACTATGCTAACGAAGCAGCTGTCAGGAACTACTTTGTTGCTGCTGCTGTGACTGTTGCTTTAACATTTTGGTTGCCATGTTGCTATTGTGCATTTGACATTTTGTGCAAATGTATGACATTTGTATCGCTGGCAACCAATTAAACCGTGAAGGCTGGCTGGCTGCCGTTTGTTTGTTCGCTCGTTTGTTTCTTCTTTCTCGGTGCGTACATATGCACATACATTTTATACATATACGATGTCCTTCTTCCTTCTCTCCTCCATAGCTGTAACTCTCAATGTTGCGAACGATAAAACTAATGGTTAAGTATATATCTGCACCCACGGTAGTAAGAATTTATACTTTTTTCCTTTCTTTACTTTTTTTTTTTTTTTTTTTTTCTCTTTCCATTAACTCGCATACATGTGAATAAACATATTCAAGGTAGATCAAGCTATTGTTTGTCATCACTTTTTGTGAGGGTTGTCTATTCCACGTTGACACACTGCAATGACTTTAACTACTGTGTTCAGTACAGTGCATGTGGTCGAAAAATGTCTTTTTCTGCAGGGCTGATGACATTTTATGTTTTATGTGCTGAAAAATGATTGAAATTCTTTACGGTCGATTGGTTATTAGATTTTTTTGTTTATTTACTTTATAAACGGAAGAGTTAAGGGGGGAGCGAAAAGCGATTAGAAGAACAATAACAAACGCGGACGTTGCAATACGCAGGCAGGTATCTCGCATTTAAAGATAAATCGTCATCACTTATTTATACAGTTAGGCTTAAGTTTTTGGCGCCAAGGTTACGCTATGCAGACCCTAAGGCAGCTTTCATTTAAATATTCTTCTAAATAATTAAAAGTTTTAACACTTTTCAGTATTATGCGTTGCCAATTTTTTCATCACATTTTTTATCGTCTTAAAGGATCGCCAAAGGGTGTTTGCGTTACCGACCGCTCAGATGATGTTCTCTATTTGTGCAATAGGAGGTGATGGTGAGAAAGAAACGAGAAAAGAGCAAAAGGTTGGGAGGTGAACGTAGCTCATTGTTATGTCAGTGTTTATCGATTCAGCACTTACTATAGAGTTCCATGATCAAAGTAAACTCTGCCGCACTTGAGATTTGAATCCGCGAACAATGGATTCCTAGCTACTCGGCTGCGAAATGCAGACACATTAACTTGATTTTTCGAAAGAAAGAAATCTCTACTTAAAACAGGATTTCCTCGAAAGTACTTTATTTAATCTGGGAGTATCTTAAACATGTGTCAATTCTCAGTCGATTAACTCTAAATTTACACTGTGGGATTATAAAACCGTTTCCTAGGGAAGTGAGTAAGATTTTATTGATTGTAAAAATATGTTGTTGTTTATAATTTGTCCTGATTATCATGCATTGTAGCACTTTTCTTGCAAGATATATTAAGTTTATGCGGAGAAGTGCTTGAGGTAGGTCAAATTTTTATTATACCGATTGACTCAGAATCATTTTTTGAATCGGTTTAAGTTTGCCTGTTCGTCTGGTGAGTGCCCTTGAACTTTTGTGTACGATCTGTGTGTCAAATTTTTGCTAGGCTTCGACGAAATTTGGCGCGTACACCAATGTATTCAAAGACAACCGCTATCCAAAACTAATTGGACGGGGAGAAAATAGTGATTTGACATAGCAAATATATGTGGAAAAGTTGATCTTAAATGGAAATATTCCGTGAACGACATTTCCTAAAACAGTTCCTACCCGGAGTAAGCGTTTATATGGCACAAATGTCTAACTTGTAATTCTTTATGATAGAAATTGATTCCTAATTAGCAAATTGACATGAAAATTAACCGCATGAAATTTGGACAACCTGCGTCTACTTCCTGACTCCGATCCTTACTTATTGAAAGCAGCCTAAGAAAAGCAGGTCTTCACAGTGCAACAAAGGCTATATTCTTAGTATTTTATAATGCAAATAAAAACAGTTTCATACGATTTTTTGGCAAGAAAATTATTTTACTAATTTGGCTCCCTCGACTATAAGGCCCAAAGTTACTCTCTATTCTGATCTACTTATGCTCACCATTTTATATGAGAGATCCGATAAGACCAGTACGTGCGCTAAGTAAGTTTCATCGGTCCGTTTATCCTCGCAAGGATTATAGCGTGTATTTCTTTAATATAATCATTTGTGGATTGTATAACTAATGGATAAAGGATAAAAAATGAAACCACCCCAATACTGCCGAACTGACTAGCTTATCAATGACTCATGCGTCCATCCGTTTACAGCCTCCTTCCTTTTTGTCTATTTTAAATTATTTTATTTCGTTCACAAACAGGAGACAAAAGGTACGATCTCAGACCGCAGCCATTAATGTATTACAAAGCTTACGCTTCGTCGAGTCGTTTGAAGGGATATACCACTAATGTTTATTCCTAGCTCGATAACTAAGGAAACCTTAACACGTTAGCCAATTACAGGTTTTGCTTAAAATATTTGGGATATGTGTTTCCTTTAAAAGGCAAGAAATTGAAACTTTTTGACAATAGTACCTTAGACAACTTGATTCAAATATCCGTAGTATCATGCAAGTAGCTTGTAAGCAAGTCATGACACCCACCGTGACGCTATGTTCGTTTAGGTTCGTTTTAGAAAAACTAACAGCTATTCTCCTGTAAATAATACCTACTTGCCTAGACCGCCTAAGCCGCCGAGAGCGGCATAAAATCGTATTCCCAGGATCCTATTTTTTCTTGCCATTTTTCGATGTCCGTATGCCTGCTAATGACGTAGAAAGTGCTTCTTCAGTTAATGCATGAGAGAAGGGAGATATAAAGCCAGACAATGTCCTGGACTCAACGTATGATCGATTAATAGACATTAATCAGAAAAGGAACTGCATATATAAACAAATATAAATTGCGTCTTGCAGTCTGTTTAAAAGTCCTTCAGTTCGATGGTTAAAGACATATTCTTGAAAAAATCCAGTCGTAATCGTCCACGTTTTCCTTCACCTATATCATCAATGAAACATATTTTCGGAAAGAGAAAAGTCATCACTTGGTGCTTGATGAAAGACTAAAAAATTAAAACAGGACGAAGGGCGTACATTGTTTTTTATTCGCAAAGGAATTTTATGCAAATCCTGAAAACTATTTAAATTTAATATCCTTGCAGGAGATTTAAGAAAATTTAGAAAACTTATTATGCACTTCTGTATGTACATATAAACGTAATCCTTGCTAATGATTAGTTTTCCCTGCAGTAACCGAATATTCGATTATTAACAGCGTATAGCTTTAATTACATTTTCTTTATGTTTATCTTTAGCAATCCATTATAGGAATAAGGAACACCTGGCTTTTATACATATGGTAGATCCTCTTTACAGGATTCTATCGATAATTTCTTTTACAATAAATGTTCATAAACTAAACATTTTACCAAATGCCATCAAAGTTGAAAACTATTGAATATTGAGTGAAACGAATTAACCGTGAAGTTTACGCATATTACTGGCACAACAGAATAAGTGCCAAAGCCATAGACACATAGATTTCCTACCGTAGGGTTTGCATATACAAAGAGAAACCTAAAATGAGAGTTGAAATCATTTTCCTACCTCAACAACAGTTGGTGCTCTTTTCGTAAATGAATTTTACAATAATGAAATATTAAAAAAAAAAAAATGAAATAAAAAATTCATACATATTGATCAAGGAATCGAAAGAAAGAAAGTCAAAGATAGAGGGACAAGAGTCTTGAAATACCAAAAAAAAAAAAAAAAAGAAATAATTCATTGCTTTCTCTTCTCTATGCCTGTTGTTTGTATTTTAATTAAATAGTGTTTTTTTTTTTTTTTTTTTGTTAAATCTCTCATTTATCGTTTAACGAACCGTTATGTAACGGTTTATGTCCAAGTGATTTTTTAACCACTACACAACGTTTAGTCTTGGCACCATGTTTAATATGCGGGATATCCTGCGCTTTTCTTGCAACGGAGCTAGAGTCGTAACGCTTTTTGATTTGCTTGTTATAACTATTGTCCGAACGCTAGCGGTTTCTTATGACATTTTTTTAATTATATGGTAATCGATCAGCCATGAAATTAAACGAACAACCATATATTTATATTTATATAGCACTTGTATCCGAATACCGGAAGTTGTTCAATATTTCAAAAAAAAAAAAAATAAATAAACAAAGGAAACAAATTCAACGATTGACTTGGATTAACCGAAATAAATTGTTAAGATTAAAACTATTTTCAAATTATTTTATTTACTTTATCACACCAATATATATATATATATATATATACGATTAAGGAATATATGTATATATATAACTGTCGAACATATATCAGGCTTTGTACTGGAAATGTTCACAGATAACTTGCTACACTTTTTAAATAGCGCTTGTATCCTTCAATGTAATTTGGGTGTAACTAAATTTATTTCTTACGCTCAATATTTATTAGATGATTAGATGATTATTAGATTAGGAAAAGCGAAAATCGCTTAGTACGCAAAAAGTAATGAATGGACGGAAGCAAATTTAATAGAGCA